GAAACTTAACAAAGGATGATGATTATCTTGTGAAATCCTCTTGAACACAAACAAAATTTTGAGATTTTGAATGAAGAAGAATGGATGATTCTTGAGTGATTTAAAGATAGTTTTGTGAGGTGTGTGGGTTTATTCTCTAGCTCTCAGTCGAACGAGAAGAAAAAGAGAAAGAGAAGTGTGCACAGAAACATGAGTGAAGGCTTGGATGTATGATGAATAAATGGCCTAGTTATCCTCTAGATAAAAGTGATGTGGCAGACAAAAGTCAACTCTCCTCCTTCTTTGTGGGTTTGGGCTGAGAATGGAGAGGGAAGAAATGAAAATTGGGCCTTGAATGCTTAAGCCCATTTTATTGTTAAGTTAGGTGATTTTTGGCCCCAAATAAATCAAAGTATGATTTTTATGACCTATTAGGGCTAAATTAAATTTGTTGTGACCCATTAAGGCCCAAAATATTGTGTTTCATGTATATGGGTCCAATTAGGGCCCATTAGAGAGTTCTAGATTCAGGATGGATAAATTGGAAGTTTATTAGTCCATTAGGCCCAATAAGGAAATCCTAGTCCAAAATGGACTTATATCGGGATTTCAAAGGCTTCCAATTCTTTGTTGACCATTTGTAGTGCTAGAATGAAGTATTTGATGAAGTTTTGTTGTTATAGGATAAGCATCATGCATGCTTTCATGTTATTGATTCATAGTTGTTATAGGCGTTGTAGTTACAAGGCACCAAAATTCCTAGTTGTGACATTCAAAGTTCTTCGGGAAGAAGAACCCCATTTCTAGTAGGCGATAGATTGCATACATGGATAGTGCACAACATACGAGCTTCTTTCTTGAGGGTCGAACGTGAGGTTTGCAACTTGTCTTCTAAGAGATCTGTTGTTTATGTTGATCCTCTATATGGTTGGATGTTGATATATTGTAGTGATCTTTTAGATAGGTAGATTTTTTATGATTACTATTTGCTAGTTATTGTTGTTTGCATATGTCGATATATTGTGATTGTGTTTAGGCGGTCATGTTAGCCAAGATACCTGGGTGGTCCATTTCATATTGTAGGTCTAAGGGAAGCTTCTCGACTTGTACACTGTAAGCTTCAGGGAGTAGCCCGATATGGATGTTGTAGCCTCCGGTGGCGGTCAAGTCTTATGATGGAGGTCTGGTTTGCATGTATTGTATATGTATTTTTGTGTGAGGTATTTTAGGTTTCTCACTAAAATTTCTCTTGCAGCTGTGGATAAAACATTTTTCATGTACTTTGACAGCTTGTAGAAGACGAAGACGTGACTTTACACACGTATCAGCACTTCATTGATTTGAGATTCCACCATACTTTTCCTTATAACTTTGATTTTGAACTACGATATACGCATAAAGGTTTTTTCCTTGAACATATCAATGTGTAATTATTCTAGTTAAAAATGAAAAATTCACTATCAAAATTTGGACGTTACATCTAAATCACCTCAAAGTCAATTCTTTCAGTTTGTACATTAGCCTTATTTACCTAATCGGCTCCCATGTGCATCGTCTTAAGGGTTCTCCAGACTTCTTTAGTGGTCTTCTATTCGACTAATAGTAATTACATGTCCTCAGGAGTTGCTTGATAAATATTCGTAAGAACCGTATGATCTTTCCGTTCTCCTACTTCTGTGTTTTGAATTGCATCTCACACTTTGTATGTTTATAGATTCACTCACATCTTTATAGCCTATATATGATAATTAAACTTTATTGGCATTGGATAATGTAATGTTACATTATTTTCTTTCCCGATTCTTTAAGCACCATCATCTTTAATATCGGCTATTCTTTACATATATTTAGATATAAAGTTAACCAGACTTTTATACATTTTATTGGAAATAATAGGATAAATATGCATGCTAAAATGAAAAGTGGAATAATGCTCGCTTTATGTGCCATATGTATGTGAAAACGCTATAATCAAAATTGGAATAATGTTCGTTTTATATGTCATGTGTCTCTTTAAACTTAAAATGAAAACTTATAAAAAAAAAAGAAAAAAAAAGTTTAAACAATCTTATTAAAGTATTACTTTTTAGAGAGGAAAATATTACTCTTTTAAAAGATGAAAAACGATTACAATGAGATATTATGTACAAAGATTGGAAAATAAATATTTATATAACCTAACATTGGTATTATTTTAATATTAAAGTAATAAACCATATAGTCATATATTAAGAAATTTTAAAGGAAAAAAAAAAAGATTTTATTATATAAATTATTAAATCATGGATGCATACAAACATTATTATACAATCACGTGGGTATACAAACAATTCATGGATACGTATAGAATTATCCATTGTTTATCATTATTTTTATCACGAAATTAAAAAAATACCAAATCATAGCACTACAAAAACAGGCATGGAATAGGATATATTAAAAACTGGATATTTATATGTTTTTATAATGAAAAGGATGTATAAGATATATGGGATGATCGACAAAACTAGTTGATCGCGGGTAGCGGTTACCGGGTATCGTAGGATTTTGGAGCGTTTTATTAAAAGCTACGCATGTAACTTTTGATTTTGGAGCGTTTTGTTTAGGCAAAAGCCTAAACGCTTCTGTAGCCGAACGATGTTTTTTTCTTTTTCTACTAACGTTTTGTTAAAGGTAGAAGTCAAAAGCTCTCAAATAATGCATGCCGAACATGTCCATAAATACTTTTAGGTGTATAAGTATGAGATTGTCTAATTTGTGTTATAAGGGCCATAATAAGAAAAAAAAACGTGAAATTCATTAATTATAAGCATATTTGTCGTTGGAAAATAAATCATTAATTATAAATAATAATCCTTATACTTATAGTTGTGAACGAAACGAACATTCGGCGAACCCTTCAGTGGAAAGTTTGTTTATGTTCATTTAGTTAATAAATGTATGAACATCAACACAAATTCTCATTCGTTTAGTTACACAAGCGAACATGAACAATATTCTCGTTTGTTTATATATATGCGTTCCATTAAGATTATTTATATTAATATATGTTTAATTGTTTTTTATACTACTATATTATATGTTCTTTTATATTTATATATGTTCAATTTTTTTGTTTATCTTTTTTCGTTTATGTCCGTTTGTGTATGTTCATTTAACATTTTAACGAAGATAAACGAAAGAAGATAAATAAAGTAATTTGTTAAAGAACGAAAATAAACAAGAAAAGTCGTTTGTTTATTAGTTTGTGTTTGTTCTTTTGTCCAATTAACTTAAACGAACGAACATGAACAAACTCATTTTCATATAAGTTCGGTTAGTTTACATCCCTACTTATAGTTATTGCAATTTACGATAATATTTAATGTTTTTTATATATGCCTGAAAGGCATGTATTAAAAAATCCATGTTTAGTTTTCCTAAAATATAAATGGATATATACACCAAAGTCTTAATATTTCATCAAATTCACAAAAAAATCATAAACTTTAATTTTTTGAAGTGAAGTCGTAACAACCACCATTTTTTTTTTGAAATATTTACCTTTTTTTTGGTTAACCAGTAATTATGATTTTATTATAAAAAAAATAAAGTTTAGGACATTGTTGTCAAATCGTAAATCAGGACTTTATTTTCAAAAAAATAACGTTTAGTATTTTTTTGTCAAATTATTGAAAATATTGAGATTTATATATATATATATATATATATATATATATATATATATATATATATATATATATATATATATATATATATATATATATATATATATATATTCCTTGTTGGGTTAGAAATTTAAATGTTATGTACTCCTAAACAATACAAGGGCAAGAGTATGCCTTGGCCCACCTACAAAAAATTAAGTTTATATATATATATATATATATATATATATATATATATATATATATATATATATATATATATATATATATATATATATATTATATATTATATATTATATGTATAATATACATTTTTGTTAAATAAAAGGAATTAGGGTTGAAGAATTTTATCACTTGTTCATATTTTGTATATTATTTGGTCTATCCTAAAATAAAATTCTAGTTACGCCACTGCTCATTAAGAATAAGAGTTATTGAAATCTGCTTTTGTCAACTAGATCTTAATGGAATCATTAATGTTTGTTTTTTGAATTTTTTAAATTTCAAGAAACCGACATTGAAAAAATAGAGATAATCAAGAACGAAATAAAAAACTAGGGTTGGCTTTCTTATCTATTTTCCACATTCACACCTTTTGACTCGATCGTGTGCACTTTGTGTTTATATAATATGTCTCCACTTAACGATTCAAGATTCGCCGACGAACAATGAAGAAAGCTTTACAAATCTTCTCACCCTCATTCGATTTTTTTTTTTTTTTTTTTTTTTTTTGCTTCTGTTTTCCCTAATCATGATTGTATTAGGATAAATATGATGATAGTAAGAAAATCAGTAATGTTGCGATGAAAATCACAATTATAAGTTCTTGGGCTAAAGAATACACTAAAGTCTCACTATGTTCAATGATTTGACACGAAAGTCTAAAACTTTATTTTTTTTGAAGTAAAATTCTAATTCACGATTTGACAATAACTCTTAAACTTTATTTTTTTAACAGTAAAATCCTAATTATCAGCTAACGGGAAAAAATTGGTAAATGTAGTTAAGACTTTTTACTATAAAAATAAAGTTCATGATTTTTTTTTCAAATCGATTCAAATATTGAGGTTTTAAGCAACAGTTAATTCATAAAAAATTAATCTATTTGAAGTTAGTGACGGTTCTAATAATTTTATACATAATGACATAAATAGATTTCATTTGAGATTAAATAAATGGAGAACTAGATTTTATGACTTGCATTTAATTAAAATCCAAACATTCAATCATATTTGATTGCGAAAATTATTTTTATATGGTAATACATACTGAAGAACATGATCCGTAGTATCATTCTTGATCATAAGCCTTCTTTTATTTTTATTTTTTAGAGAAACTGAGCACGTATTTTTATCATTCTTCATACTCGATTTTAATCTCGCCAATGGAAAGTCCACTACCCTTAGTCTTGGGCACCAATGTCACCAACACATTTTGATCATCTTCAGCCTTCAAATCCTCCAAAAGCTCACTTATCCCTAGCCTCAATCTTGTCTTCAAATTCCTCCCATGATTATGCTTATGAGGGATATTCACGAAACTTCCGGCGAACTCTGTCTTATCTGCGGTGGCCGTCATCCCGTCATCTTCATCGTTTATAAACACATCAAACTTCACAAACTCATCCATCTTCACTTCAATTCCTTCAATCACCAAAATTTCTTCTTCTTCTTCTTTCTGTTTCTCGCTCCTTGATATCTTGGGCCGTGGAACCAGCACTTTGATTACCTTATCAAGACTCGCCGGAAAAACAACTTCTGCAAATGGTATGTTTTCGTCGGCTCGAGCCACAGCTCGCTTGTTATGCCGGGGCTTGTGCGTGGCCTTTGTTCGTCGTGGAACAGGTTTGTTTTTTAGCCATGGTATCTCTACATCTTGATAAACGTAGCCAAGATTCTTGGTGTCGAGACAATCCCTCACTTTGACTCGATTCAATTCAGCATTCTCATCGTAGAACAAGAACGAAGAATCAAGCCAGTCATTATCAGTAAAATCCTTCCTTCTTCCACCTAGCGTTTTCCAAACTGACCACATTCTATCGATATTCGCATGATGTGCATAGAAAATAGGGTCTCTGGCTGCAGAATAAAGGTTACCCATGTTTTCGCCATTTTTCTGGTTCCAATCACCCGCCCATATATGAACTGCGTTATGCGGTGTGTTCTCGAGCGAACCAGCACCAGGATCAGGATCATCACCAGAACGGTAAGGACTACCCATGAAAAGACTAGCAGTCTTGGAACTAGACACCATTTGTCTATACATAATTGTGAGATTTGTAGACGTTTGTTTAGAGGGGCTAAGATTTTCGTCGACACCATTGAAGTCAAGATCAATCAAAGACGGTGGTTGATGTTTCGCATCGCGAAGAGTATCGTATAACGGAGAATTCTTATTTGTGTAAATATCAGGGATTTTCATCCCATCTGGTGCATCCCAGTTCCAAAACGGAATTGCAAAATTTGGGTCATCAATTAATTTCGCACAAATTTTCTCGAAGAAGTACATGTAATGGCGATGGAAAGGGAAGAACAGCCACGAGTTATGTACTTGAAGCTGCAGATCTGAACCAACTTGGTCATACGCGCCTTCGCAATAGGCACAATGAACATTAGCTTGTTGCTTGAAACTACGAGGATCGTCATCTGGGAGAGCTTTCATGAGCTCGATGGCTTTATTGAACTTGGCTATGTAATCCTCATTAGCCAAATGAGCTGCCGGACGGACTCGTAACGTGTTTGACAGTGGTGGAAGTTTGAAATCGAGAATCTTTGTGGTGTATGGCGGGCAACAGTCTGTGGGTATAGCACCTTCGGGCAAATCAGCCGGACCACATTTTGAGAGGTTGGGTGCCAACGGATCTGCAATGGCAGGTGAATTAGACCCAAAAGTGGCGGCAGTACCATAAAGACCTCCGAGGCCTAAAAGGATATTTCTCCTATCAAGTTTGCCAGAGTTTGCATGGTGGTGGTGATCATCATCTAGGGTTTTGCATGAAATTGCATGGCGATGTTTGGAGATTCTTTGAATGGGAATTTGAGATGACTTAAAAGAGAAGGAAGAAGAATAGTTGGATGAGGAAGAGATCCTCCTTTCACTCCTGCAGGCCGTGCCTGTTAGGGTGCTGGTTGGTGAGGACCCAAAGGATGCCATAATTTTGAGCGCTACTGCATGAGATTATGTGATGAATTGATCTATATTTATATAAGAGCTTATGTTATGACGCTCGAATTTATTTTACCAATTTATCCTTTTGATAATAGAAGTTATGCTTTTCTAATTCTGTGGCCATAATACTTTCATATGGATATGTATATTACGTTATACGTCTATACGGACACCTTTCTCTTTTTGAAAATTTAGAATCAATTATTTTATTTATTATCTAATAAAAATTATTTAAATTTAAATAAATAAGTTGAAGAATGTAAACATAAACAATGTAATTAACATGTATATCATTTTAGAGATATATAGCATATGCAGCCCTACAGTGTGCAATCGTAGGGACCCAAGAAAAACAAAACAAGCTTGAATTTTAGACCATCTGTTATCGGAGGAAGAAGACGCATGAGAGACTGTCGTGTCACACCCCAAGACGTATGAACACCGCCCCCAAGCCCGATGCTTTGACGGTGGCATGGAAAGATGGAGATGCAAGATTTGATTGGCCAATACACTTTTCGACCGTTTGGGGGAGCGGAACTAATTTCAACAATTTGTATATAAAAAAAATATTCAACTACTAACAAATTTCTCTTTATATAACATTCATTTAACATTTCAAACAACACATTCTTTTAACACAAACACACATATTCACCAAAAAATACTGCTTTCTCACGTACTTTTATGGATCCAAACCAAAATATTCCATCCACCCAAACACTTCAAATGATCCATTAACAAATCTTAGTTACACGCAATTAATAACATATTCAATTCAACAACAACCTCTATTCACAAATCTTTCATACCACGCACACTACTACCAATAATAACAACTACCACAATTCAATCAAACTCAATTTTAAGCATTTTAACAACAACCCTCTCTGCAATTTCAACTCCAAACTTTCCAATATCAACAAATTTCACAAACATCTCAAGTTTCATTATCTCAGTCTCAACCTATAGACATCGACAACGACGACGACGACGAACGGGTTGAAGAAACACAACCAAGTCGTAGAACGCAAAAAAATAAATAAATAAATAAATAAATAAAAAGAACAAAAGATCCAAGGAAAAAGAAAAGTATGCAATGGACCGAAAAGGATGAGAAAACTTTACCTAAAGCTTAGATTTTCATATTACAAGACGGAGATGTTACCAACGCCCAATGTCATACTCCCAAACCAAAACGGCGGAAACGTTTGGGGGCGGAGGATGTCATGTACAATATCACACTAAGTGGATAATAATAATAATCAAAGCAACAACAATCACTATATTGATAATATAAAGTTTACATTGTGTTTAAAACATTGATTGATTTACATTAAAACTATAGTCAAAAGATAAGATGTAATACTACTATGCTCCATCTTCGCAACACCTGAGAGGGTGCCTGTCTATTAATTTCCTGAGTATACAACTGGTTTGAAAGAGTGTCAACATTAAAGTTGGTGAGTTCATAAATATTTTATTTTAGAAAGTATATTCTTTGTTCTTTGGAAAAGTTCGTGTATTTCTCCAGAATACCCTATATTTTCTTAGTAAGTAAAGATAAGTAATATGTTCATACCAGTTCCTTCTATGATTACTTAATGAATACAAGTTATATATAATCCAGATCGAGTTCACAATTGACTGTGTGGATCTACCGAATCGCACAACCAAACAAGGAATAGGAAGAAAGACGGAAATCACACATTTCACTGCCTATCGGATCTTCATTATATATAGCCCTAATGTATTCACTAGGTAATTATAGAGTTAACAATAATGATCTTTTTAGAAGGGATGAGTGTAATCCTTCAAAAAATCTTATATTTTTTTAGTAAGAGATTGTGACCATACTAGTTCCTTCTATGATTACTTAGTTTATACTAGTTATATATAAACTAATATCAAATGGACAGTTAAATGTGTGGATCTGCCCTAAGCTCACAACCAAAAGTAAGGCGAAAATCACATATTTAACTGCCTATCATATATCATTTATATATAACTCTAATGTATAAGCTAAAGAATCATAGAATTAACAATTAAGGGTCCTTTATGTTATACTATTTTGTAACAAGTATCGGACCTTTTGTAAATATTTTTGATTGTGGAAATAATGATGTTTATCCCGGAAAATCCAATATTTTCCATAAAACCGATTTGTAGTCCTAATCGTTCAAAGTCTGAAAAGCACAAGTATAATTACCATACTTAGTTTAATGATACCTAATTTTATTTATAAGTAAAACTAGCTGAAGATGTGTTTTGCCTTGTAAAATTGATTTGATGTTAATACTCTCCTATGATCACTTAGTACATACAAGTTATATGAAATTGAGATCAAACAGACAGTCGAATGGGTGAATCTGCCCTAAGCCCACAACAAAACAAGGAACAAGAAGTAATTCGGAAATCACACATTCCACTGTCTACCGGACATCAATTTTATATAACACTGATGTATATGCTAAGTAATTACAGAGTTAATACCCCTTAAGACTATTTGAGAAAAAGTATATTACTACGTAGATCTGTTGTTGTTTTCTTCGTGTGAGTTCTTATAACGATACTTGATGACCTAGAATGGCTTGAAACGACATTCTTTAGGCGTAGGAATCGTTATGATATTTGTCACCTCAGGCCTGCAGGCCTTGCTGTTACAAACAACTCAGATGCAGAATTGTCAGTCATGTATAAATCTATATACAAACTCACATTCTCCCTCCAGACAACTCTGGTTATAAGTCAAGACTTTAATGAGTACTTAGATAAGTACATGAAGGCGTCTTACAAATTTCTTCAACGAATTAACTAATAATAAAGTGAAAACCTTTTTGTAAATAACATGTAATTTTGTAAAATAATCCCTTTGTTTCATAAACTATACAAATTTATAGTTTATAAGTTTATTTCCATGTTTCAACCTGTATTTGTAAAATAGTTCATATATTCCATAAACTATACATATTATAGTTTAGAAGTTTATTTCCATGTTTTAATGTGAACCCATTACGTCTTGACATGTTCTATATATTTTCACGTAATAGTTATAAAAACTATAAGAAAATAATAATGATGTAAGTATTCCTGTGTTTTACTTGCATCCCCCCCCCCCTTAAACAATTAAAAATCATGAAAATATAGGGGTATGAAGTCACCTTAAGTTTGATTGCAGGTAGAATCTAGGTAGACACTGGTAGCACTTAGCGATCGTCGGCTCGGGAAAATGGTTCGAAATCCGCAAAACGAGAAAGAGTAGTGAATTGGTGTATCCAAAACCAAAGAGAGCAAACTCTCTATTTATAGTTCGAGATTTTGACACTCAGGTCGTGAGTTTAGTCCGGATCAGCTCGTAGGCTTGCCACATCGTGAGTTTGGTCCGGATCAATGCGTGAGTAATCCCGTAGACTTCCCAGGTGTCTTATAGACTTGAAAAGTGGCAATCTGACTCCTTACGTCGTGAGAAATGACGCTTACGTCGTGAGTCTAGTTAGATTAGGGTTTTCTGACACGCTTCATGATATCAGACAACTATATCTTCGGAAAGACATAACTTTTGCATACGAGCTCCGTTTTTTTATGTTCTTTATATCCACACGTAGGTATTTTCGAATACTACAACTTTCTTTTAGACACCAATAGCTAATTCTAAATATATTTTAAATTCCACTTGAAATAAAAGCTATAGTGATAGAATTTATCATAACTTTTTTATGAGAAGTCATATTTAGACGTTCTATATATTTTTGGAATCTTGAGATTTGTAGCGTTGAATGAAAATATCATTAAATATTGATTATAATGTGTGTTTGTTATTTTTATGCGGATTATCTTTGACCTAATTTTGACTGGAAATAACAGGTTGTTACACGCAAACTAGTCAATGTCTTTTGGAATCGTGTTTTGTACCACTTCCACGTGTTATTAGGAAGGCAAACGAGTCGCAAATTCGACTCGGTCAATGCAAAATGGTGTGACCTTCGAGCGGCTTGCACCAAACTTAACGGCGTATTTGACAATTTTAAAAATATGTAGAGAAGTGGTAGCAATGATTTCAACATTTTATCAACCGCATTGTAGCAATTCAAAATTAAGAACAATGTTATACCATTTGCAAACAAAAAACCGTGGGTAATTTGTTGTATTGGTCCAAAATGGGTGCTTTATCCGGGTACGGCGCATTTGGGATCTACAACCGGCTCCAACAAAAGGCAGAGAACATCCGAGTCGAATATTTGTGTTAGTCTCGACCTCAATGATGAGTTCGATACCACCGAGGGGGAGGGTCCATCGGACCTCCAACTTCGACAACCATCGGGAATGGATAAAGCGGAAAAGGGGCGTCTTTAAGTGGAAAATTAATCAATGAGGACATACTAGCAGAGAAAATAGACATAACTCTAAATTTTTTAATTTTTTTTTTTTATAAATCAATTGAGGAAACTCGTCGGCAAAAAATGGCAAACACGGTGCCGCAACCGAATCTCGACCCAAGAAATTTAATGTTGTTTTTAAAAATTCAACAAGAAGTTCTCGACAAATATCGCAATTAGATTCTATGTTTTTATGCTTTTTAGTAATTTAGGTTTAATTTTCTATGGTTTTTTATGTCTTTTTAGTATTTTAGTTTTAATTTTCTATGTGTTTTCTATGTTTTTTCGTAATATAGGTTTAATTTTTTTTTTTTAGGTTTAATTTTCTATTTCTTTTAATTAACATAATGTGGTTTCAATTAATGTAAAATATTTTATTATGTTTTAAATTATGTTTTTATTTAATTTAATCAACTAAAAAATTAAAAAAGAAAATCATGGAGTAATAACTATTTCTTATGTGTAGTAGGTTAGTTGTGGGTTGGTGGTGAAACAATGTAATGCAAAGGTGACTATATTTTATCGGTAGGCTGGGGGTAACCACTCCTCATAACCTTATACTAATTATGTAGTGAGTTTGTAATGTATAACAATTTTTGCAAATGTTAAGAC